CTTGACTTTAGTTTGATCCTAAGGAAACTAATTTTAAAAGAGGTCTAAATGACTTGTGTATCAAAAAAGAGCAAACTGAATTAAACCTATAACTCCCACAATTGATTTACATGTAACTTATTTATATAATAAATTATTTGAGTACATTATCCAGCAAACAGATAATGAGAATACTCAAACTTATCAGAGGTAGAGGTTATTATCTTGATCTAACATCAAATTCTTGTAGATAGTTCACAAGGAAATGTGTAGCAGCCACAGAGGAGAATTAACAATCAGATCTCAGGAGTAAATTAGGCTTAACATCATAGCAGCTAGATGTACAACATGATACTGTTTGGATCTATGTTGTAACTTTAATTAATAATGATACTTACAGATGATGGAAATCATTGCATTGTACTACTACACATGATCATGATTATAATCAAGAACTAGAAATTAGTTTCATAAATAAATGATTTCCATTCTTGGCCTTGCCTCTTTTCATCTTTATTCAAGAAATGTCAGATGAATCAATCAGTAATTTCCACTATACCTAGTAAATTTAAGCATAGTACCTGGAGTGGAATCTCAACATTTGGAAGAGGAATGACAAGAGGATCTCCCCCAGTCCCCAACACTGAGACTGAATTGAACTCATCATATTCCACCTGTATAAATAAATAAACATTTATTGGTAACAAAAGATATTGATATTTTCCTTTAAGTTAATACATCTTTTTGTCACTTGGCAATAGATTACAGAAATCCAGACCTGAAAGTTTCTTTATCACAAGTAAAAAAAATTTAATTAAATGTTCATCATTGTTAAAATAATGCAATAGAAAAAATACATACCTCTCTAAGTCAAACAACTTGAATATCTCATTTTCTTGTAAGTGTATATGTGTGTGGCAAAATTAATAAACAGAAAACTGAAACCTCAAGCTTTCAGAATCATTCTCTCTAACAAAGGATAAATTTATAAACTGCTGCATGGTCCATGCACAATACCAGAAGTACACTGTGGAAAAATTCCTTGATATCACTCTCTGTTGCTGCCAAAAATTATATTGGTGTTGTTCATTATAAATCCAAATTTTCCTTTCTGTTGCATTTTTATCAAGTTCTCTTGTTGTCATATGCATCACTTTCATCAATATTCTGTTATGTTATTTCTCAGAGTGTCTTTGTCGTCTGTTATTTTGTATTTGCATTTGTCAATGTCTTTGAGTATAATTGTAGTAACTTATTATTTGTAATTTTCTTTTAGCAACTGCTTCAACTTTTTACTTTGCTCCGATTCCTCAGTTTATTTTGTTTTGTTTGGAGGTATAGTAAAGAGCATGTTATTGTTTGGAAATGTACAAGTACTTTTGGCCATCATGCTCTCAATGTTACATAATACATGTATATGACAGGACAGAAACTGCCCACATTGTGAGTACCTCCCATTTTCCCTCATAAATCCTTAGAAAAGTTTTCTAAGCATTTATAAGGTACTTACAGTGCACACAATTTCTTTCCTGTTATGTCCATGCATTTTGTATCAAGTACCTTTGTCTTTTCCACATCAAATCCTCCTTCAACGCCTACCACAGGGAAAACAAGGAGTTTCTAACTTTCAAGTAACATCATGTACCAGTTAAATCTTCAGTTGGGCTGACATAAATAAAGGCCCCTTTATTGGTGGGGTATTATCAATGACATGAAGTTTTTCTTGAATTTACATGTTAAACTTATAAGTTTGATACTGGACCAGTGTGCAAATATTATAAAATGGAATTAATCTGATGAGGTGCAGCAAATACCACATGATGATGTTAAAAAGTTAGGAAATTTAAAATGCAACTCACCAATTGCCAGTCTTGTAGGTTTTTTCTTTGGTGGAGTATCTGTAGAGCTATCTGTTTCAATCTGAACCTTTTGGAGGAAACAAACAGACAAATAGTAACCATATAATGAATGATCATAAACAATTACTGGGAAGTCTTCCTTAAAAAATTTCCCTTTCTTGACTGCTAAATTTATGCACACTGAAATAACAATGTGGAGTACCGTAAATGTCCATTTGAATTTTTTACTTTGTTTTATCTTCCTTTCCCCTGTTTGAGATTATGATTTTCATAATGAGGTCTAGACAGAGGAACAAAAATATCATCATCGTAAAAAACATTGAAACTGTTCCCAAAAAAAGAACTGATCTGCAGAACAGTCATGAAATGTCTAAAGTTTACCCAAAGATTAAAAAAAAAATCCTTCAGTCTTTTTGAAAATATCTCTTTGATAAAAATGCTGTGGGTACTCAGATACATCTTAAAAGAGATGTACTATGGTACCGCTCGTGTATATGTTAACCAAAAAACCCGAATTTAATGCACTAAAAATCGCATGCAATTATGAATAATAAAACTTGCACACATCAAAAAATTGCAAGTGTGCGCACGACCTTGAGACATTGGCCTCATTAGTATGTATGAGGTAGTCCTTTTGTTTTTCTATTGTTGGCAGTTTATTGTTTTAAAGAGCAGGCCACAATGTAGTAGCACTAAAATATACTTTTACCAATGCAACTTTGTAATCAAAATATATAAATGATTTACCATTTTCCAATGGAATTCATTCATCAAAATAGCTATTTCTCACTTAATAAGCAGTAATGCTAAAAGGGTCTTCTCTGAGTTTTCTGGTTTTCCTCATTACACAAAAAAACTTCCAAATTCCAATTCAACAAGGAAACTGAACAAGAAAACCATCTTGTGGGTGTCTAATATTACCTGAATAAGATTTCATTTAATACTTTGTTTTCAAACTGTCTTATTTATTAATCATCATTCATGCTATGAAATATAAATACCTTCTTAACTTTCTTCAAATGCAAGAAAACCTTGTGAGAGGTCTTACTGATATGAAGATGAACATGTTCCTCACAAAAACCAAGAAATGTAGAAAGACAAACATAGAGTCCTCCATCACTTTCCTATAAAATAAAAATTCGCAAGATAAGATAAGTTAACATTTTACTTAATAAGTGTGATTTCTTAAAGCTCAAACATCATTTTGATTCACCACAATTTTTTTCAAATCTGACTTTCTTTAAGCCACTGCAAGTTATGTTCAATTGCACTGAAAGAGTTGGATAGAGAAAAAGAGACGGAAAGTAACCTAAAAGACTTTCAAGTGTACATTTTTTTTGTCTAAACCTTGTAGCTTGACCTTTTAACTTCCAGAAGTAATGAACATGTAACTTTTCCCTATAATATCCATACCTTATCCAGCAAAGAGATAATTTGAATACTCAAACTTATCAGGTAGAGGTTGTTGTCTTGATCTAACTGCAAATTCTCATTACTAAGTTACATAGAAATGTGTAGCAGCTAGAGGGGAGAATTAACAATCAGATCTCAGGAGTTAAAGAGTTAATTTAAGTGAGCAGCACAGAAATTTTTATTTCAATAGAATAGGTTGAGCTCACATGCTGAACTAAAAGCAAATTAGAAATAACTGGAACATGATCTGATAATCAATGGGTGTCAAATTTCAAACTTGTTGCCATCAAAACCTGACTTATTTTTTTAATTATGGAGCAATCATTGGCAAGCTACATTTTTGCCAAGAGTAACATAATGATCCGTTTAGAAAAAAAATGTTATATTTTCAACTGAAGGGACATTCACGCACAGAGAGGATGGACAATATTGGAAGGTCAACTTTCTAATTTTGTTCAAATGGAATGGTGACACTTTTAGAACCCTCGTCAGCTTCGATAATTGATAACAATGTTACAGCAATTACCACCAGCAAATTAAAAAACAAAGAGGGGTAAAATTTCCGCACAGCCCCATACTATTTCCTGTTTAAAGGCTTAAAAGGTATACTCAACACAATTTCATAAATAATTTCACTCTTTCTCATAGAACAAGCGACAGGAAAATTAAAAAAAGATAGAAATTGGAGTAAAACGAGGCTTAATGATAATACATATCAAGAAGGGAAAAACGACGTAATTTGTACGTCTGAAAGTTTTTCTTGGTTATTAAACACTGCAAAGAAGAGTTTTTGAATTAAAACACACTTCAATAAACCCTACGTGCATTTTTTTTTTTAGGACCACATCTACATATTTGCAATACATACCGGCGAGTCGAAGCAGTACACACATTCATCTTTGAAAACTTTATCTCCACCTCCTGGAACACGGATACCTGGGCTCTTTAAATATTCCATAGGAGAACGAGAGTTGTCGTAATTTTCTAGTAATTATTTCAACAAATTTCACAAGTTTGAAAGAAAAATGAAAGAACACGAGATCTACTACGTTTACGAAGAGTTCCGCTGACAGGGAAATTGGACTTCCGTCCAATGCCTTCTTCGTATAAGCTAAACTGACCTATACTTGGCCAACCTCCTCGCGTGCAGATCTCAATCCCCTCCCGCCGAAGGATTACAGCATTTAAAAATTTTCTTTTCTTTTGCCGTTTGAAGACAACCACAGAAAACCTGTGACAACAAATGTACCATTAAAGAACATTGAAAACTGAAAAAAAAGCACTAATGCTTGAGTTTTAGACTCTCCACCCACATCGAAAGCCAAATTTAAGACGCTTAAAAAGTCAATTCAATACTATTTAAGTCGCCTACGTGTAGCTATACCCTCCGTCCGTCTAGGGTGAAACGGAGGCGAGGCTAGAATTTATTTTTCCGCTTCTAACTGAAATGAATGGAGAGGGACAACCTCATCTTTACAGAGAAGAAAATGCTACAAGTCTTCGACAACTTCATGGCTAGGTTTGCACTTTCTGAGCTCTTCAAAAAAGCCTGACCCTTAAAAAAGAGAACACACACAGTTGAAGGGTTCCATTATATATCGAAGGAGTTTCAGTATTAGCCGGTTACCGACGGTCCACCGCCGCCTATAGGATTACTTCCCGCCGACTTCATACAGCACCTTCCCCTACACAACCGCCTTTTATACCGATCGCCAGCCGCTTATGGAAAAAGTTATTGAAACCCCTTTATGTAGTTTGAGAAATTTTATTTCCATTATATTATCATTGTTATTAAGTGACAAACATAAACTGTCCATAACATGGGTAACTTATTGTTTATCAACATCTTTTATGACGTGTTTTCTCTCCCTCTTTTTGTGAGGAACAATTCTCCGTTTACTTTCGCTTGGTCAAGGCTCAGTAAAGTACAATTTAAAATCATAAATTTCTTCTTTTTGAACGGATCCTATGCAACTTCGCCGCGCATAGCTAAAATATCTTTGACAGGAGCTTTAAAGAAACAAAGAATTTAAAATAATAGATCAAACCACGATAAAGAATACATTGACCTCTCACTCCCCGGGAATTAACCTGGAAGTCTTAACTAAAATTTTCCGGGAACGCGTCTGATCATGACAGACATTAGCTATGCAGACTAAATATTCCAAAATTTTCCCTTTCTTATCTATGCTGCAGAACACAAAAATTGTTCGAGGAAAGCACATGACGGTACCCGGTGTGGCCATATTTTACGGTAAGAATGTAACATTTGTTAAGTCTTCTTCACGAACTGCTCTAGAAACTCTATGTAGACCTTCTTTTGAGGAGCTTGCGTTGGGACGAAATGGCCTAGAAAAAAGTAGAAAAAATGTTTTAGATATTTCATGCACGTTATGACGCTGATTTCTAAAAACCACGCGACCTTCAAAAGATAGATCATAACTGTGAATACTATCGACTAGATTCTATTGTTTCAATAGCCGACAATACGTTACACTGTATACGAAATATTTTTTTTTGACATGTGGATAGGATAACAAGTTACCAATCAAGCTTTGCAGTTAAACCGCTAAAAAATCAGAAAATTTTCTTGTTTCAACAAGGAACCATGAATTCTTGCAGACTTCCTAAATTAAGCAACAAGATCAGTTCGTCACTAATACCATTTAAACTGCACTGCGGTCGCTTTGAATGTACTTATCAGATTAAGTCATCTCATCCAAATTTGTTCAAATTCCAACGGAAAATTTTCCGGGTTCGAATCCACAGCCGGAAGCGGAGCTGATTTCCAAATATGGCCAAATTATTCTACTGTAAATTGTTTTCATTGCCATGCCTCCTCCCTTTCTCCTGTGTGATCCCTAATTTGTCTGATCATATAGCATCCAAAAACATTGGCAATATCATCTAAACACAACTTCTTTGTTCTCACCCCTCCAGGGGGCGAGAGAAAGTCCCCAGTTTGATCTGCAGCACTGCCAATGAAGGCCTGCCCAGAGGATTCTTTGTTATGTGAAATAATGATTTGACTTGGAAAAAATTGGACACCAAACCAAATTAACCCCAATAGACATGCCTATCAGTGACTGAAATTTGGCCATATAACAACTTTTCATACAAAAGGAAATAAAAGTGAGCCATTTACAAGGTGGAAATATATCTAAAGAGTGAAAACCAAATATTTTCAACACTAGGTCATCATATCAGGTCAAAAGGAATTGAGATATAGACATACACTAACCTCCAGGGTGGTTAAGAGTGGTATGGTTAGAAAAATGCTTCAGAAGATCTTCACTGTTTTCTGTTTCATTGATTTAAAATAAGACACCAATCAGTTGCCCTATCTTTCAATGGCTTAAGTGTAAAGAATATTGGAATCCCTTTCAGAAATGACTGTGTAGGGACATGCCAAGAATGTAGGAAGGTAATTTATTTACATTTAGGTTTAAATGACAGAGAGGTAGAGGGCTGGTGTATTTTTGGTCCAGACTAATAAGTGACCAGGGATGGTGGGGTAGAAAAAAGCTAATTATATTGATTATTTGCCTACCTATTCATCAAAATATTTCTATATTTAGAAATGTTGTTTCTATTAGTTTCTTACTCTAGCTCAGTGTCACAAAACTAAAGAAGGGCTATGCAGGGATAGATGGAGGACTGAAGGTAGAGGTAATTTATAGCTTAAATTCAAACTGTTTCGTAGACTGATTTCAGTACAACCAAACTTAGATGTGGGGTTCAGTGAAGTATTGCTGCCATAAGCATGATACAGATTCATGGTTCTAAACAAATATGACATTTTAAGAAAAATGCAAGGAAGACACCTGTACAAATGTACAAGTAAAGGAAATAAATTTAAGTGCCACTTTAAAGTAACCACCAGCTGAATACATACCCTTAGGTATGACTCTGTCTGTATCACCAAACACATGCAGGGTGGGGAATGTGATGGGTTCTGTGTAGTATATGCTGTGTCCTGAAGATCTTGACTTGAATGCAGCCACAAGAATGGCAAATTTAAAACTTAAATAACCTAAAACACAATGAACAACAAAATCGATTACACTGTAGGTCCCAGCCTATTTCAGACACTATCCAAGAAGAGAAGAAATAAATGAGTGGATGAATTAACATTACCCAGGGTAGACAAAATGGACCTTTTCTTGATTGAGCAGTGATCACAGCAGTTAATAATAACTTCATGATATATTAATAACAAATTCATGATAGCTGAGAGGGTTACATCTACTTTGTACAGTCAAGAAAACAGACATACCTTGTTCTCTTAATGCACAGAGAATCGAAAGGAAACATGCCCCTTGGCTAAACCCAAGAACACCTATTTGATAAACATCACATACATGTTTAAGAACATAAAAATAATATGTTCTAAGAAGTCCCAGCTTGTGTAATATTCTCCACTTTATCATATGTGATTATAAAAAGTTCTACAAATGGTTGTTGAATAGTGATGACTGCCCCTAAATAATTTTGATGGAATATTAACACTACTTAAGGGTTTCTAAATTTTTTGAAGTACAGTGTAGGCATCAAACTCTAGAAAAAGTAGGTAACTTAGACAGGTTATCAAGAAGCCAGTAGAATTTTGGCAGTCACTGGCTTGTTTTTACACCCCTGCACTACCCTCTGAATAAACTGCTACAATTCCCTTATACCAGTTAAAACCATCAAACATGAGATGCTTTGTTAAAACCAAAAGCATTTATCAGTTGGACAGAGTTTTATCACTGTTATTAAATGGTAATAATCTATCCTGACAACAAGTATATTTGGTCTATGGAGAAAAAGATTTAAGGATATTTCACAAACATATCACCCTACTTTCAATTGCTGTTTGCTTCTTATAATAGCAATTGCATAGTTTAATGAATAATTATTCACTGGGTAACAATTTATTTTGTATCTATACCATTTGAACTACATGCACAACAAAAGGCTTGACCATGGTAGTTAAGTGATTGAAATTATTAATCATGATAATTAAAAAGTACTTTTCTCTCTTTTTCAATAAAAAACTCCTCTAATGCATCTCGCTGGATAGTTTCCTACAAGCATTACAAGTGCTCCTCAAAAATGAGATTACATACCATCAAATGGCCCCTGAAAAATAACATAAATACTAAATGTCAAAAAAAATGATAACATGAGAATTTAACAGGTAAGGAAAGGGCAAAACAAACAATACTAACTTTGTTGCTGCATACTAAAGAAATATAGCTGGTTACTGTACATATTTTATAAGATACTTAGAAGGAAAACTTTCAACAAAAACTAATAAATAGACATCCACACTTCTCAGTTATTATAAAATATAGAAAGGTAATTACAATTAGTAAATGAAATTTTTTCATTTCCAAGAGAAATTCATGAGAAAAATCAACCTTGTCTCCAGGGGTCTTTTTCTCACCCAACCACCAAATGTGAGAAGAACATATTAGACACAGGGAGGAGAGGGGAACAATGAGATTGCATTTCCTACTACTGTATAGTGTTTGGCATCATGATTAATTACCTGGTTTGTAAAGGTGGCCTTGACAAGTTCAATTGATTCATCATAACCTTTAGAGACATCAGATGGACTAAGAGGGTCATATGTGTTATCTTCAGCTGAAAACCACCAACCATATTCATCTAATTAAAAGAACAAAAACTTGA